TATATTTTTTAAAATGTGTCTATAAAGTGATGGATCAACAAATTAATATAAAAATACACGACAGAGAGGAATGAATAGCCCACAGAAAAGAAAGTATAAATGGCTCTTAAAAACACGTGAGAAAGACACCATTAAGGAAAGGACTTGTAGGGACTTCCCTGGTGGTGCAGGGGTTAAGAATCTGCCTGCCAATGCAGGGGACACGGGTTCGAGCCATGGTCCGGGAAGATCCCACATGCCGAGGAGCAGCTAAGCCCGTGCGCCACAACTACTGAGCCTGCGCTCTAGAGCCCGCAAGCCACAACTACTGAGCCCTCATGCCACAACTACTGAAGCCCACGTGCCTAGAACCCATGCTCCACAACAAGGGAAGCCACCGCAATGAGAAGCTCGTGCATCGCAACGAAGAGTAGCCCCCACTCGCCGCAACTAGAGAAAGCCCGTGTGCAGCAACGAAGACCCAATGCAGCCATAAATTAATTAATTAATTTTTTTAAAAAAGACAAACAATACAACTTAAAAATAGTGGGCAAAGTATTGCAAGCTACTTCACCAAAGAAGGTATGCAAATGGCTGATAAACACACGAAAAGATGCTCAACATCATTAGTCATTAGGGAACAGCAGATTAAAACCACACCAAGGGCTTCCCTGGTGGCGCAGTGGTTGAGAGTCCACCTGCCAATGTGGGGGACACAGGTTCGTGCCCCGGTCCGGGAAGATCCCACATGCCGCGGAGCGGCTGGTCCCATCAGCCATGGCTGCTGAGCCTGCACGTCTGGAGCCTGTGCTCCGCAACGGGAGAGGCCACAATGGTGGGAGGCCCACGTACCACAAAAAAAAAACAACAACAACACCGAGACACCACAACACACCTACTAGAGTGGGTAAAATTGAAAAGACTAAGGACAACGACAGGTTTAGGGGGAACAGAGTGGTTGGAACTCCTGCTGCACCTCGGAAAATAGTCTGGCAACGTCTGAGAAAGTTACAGCACACATGAACCACACAGCCCAGCAGCTGCATGCCTGGGCATTTACCCAAGAGAGTTGAAAATACACCTCCATCATAACCTTATTTATAACATCCAGAACACTGGAAATACCACAGTGGCTCCAACGGGTGAATGGCTAAGCGAATTATGACACATCCGTACAATGGAATACTTCTCAGAAATAAGAAGGAACAGACCCTAAGATGTGCAGTAACAGCGTGGTGACTCGAGCCTTCTGCTAAGGACAGAAACCCACCAAAGGAGAAGAGGCTACAGAACGTGTGATTCCATTTATATGCATTCTAGAAAAGGCAAAACTGTAGGAACAAAACATCCGTGGTTGCTTGAGGGTGAGAGACAGACTGACTGCAGAAGGGGCGTGAGGACACCTTGGCGTGGGGGGTGATGGAACTATTCTGTACCTTGGTCATGGTAGTGGCTACGTAACTGTATACATTTGTTTAAAACTCATCAAACCGCGTACGTCAAGAGTGGATTTTGTGTGTATACAGGCAGACCTCAGAGAGATTGTGGGTTTGGTTCCAGGCCACCGCAGTAAAGCAGATATCACAATAAAGCGAGTCACGGGACTTTTTTGGTTTCCCAGCACATATAAATGTTATGTTTACATTTACTGTAGTCTGTTAAGCATGCAATAGCATTATGTCTAAGAAAACCATCAGACATTTTAGAACACCTTTAATTTAAAGTAACGCTGTTGGGAAAATGGCTCCGGCAGACTTGCTTGACTTGGGGTTGCCCCAAACCTTCCATTTGTAAAGAAAAAATAAAAATGCGGTATCTGCGAAGCACGATAAAGCAAAGCACGATAAGAGGAGGTCTGCCTGTGTAATAATACAGTAACCCTGATTTTTTTTAAAGTTCTTCAGTTAAGTATTGTAAGGAGGATAGAAACAAATAGTGATTTTTTTGAAATCACATGTGAAAAGATGATTTTCTTTTTTTTTTCTCTCTCTTCAAAAAGGCAACATTTCATACTCCATTCAGTCACCTAGGCCAGAGTCCAGAAGGATGCTCCTCTTACACTTTTCCGAAGATAATGGGCCCAAGCAAGGTAATTTTTGGAAACCTTAAAACGAAAGGTAATGTCATCTCCATTCCAAAAGTAACCCCACACTCTCTGTTCTTTCCCTCTATAGTAGAGGCAGCAGACGGAAGCGAATTATTTGCTACCCAACTCCAAGAGTTTTAAACATAGAGGAACCAGGCTGTGGGAAGCGTCTGGTCCGCAGGGAAATTTAGACGCTCTGTCCCCAAACTGGGGGTGACTCTCAGCTGGGTGCCCCGTGCTCCCAGCGCCGTTCCCGGCCCCCACAGCCTTTCCTCCAGACTGTCCCACAGGGCAGCAAGGCTCCAAGGGGCCCACTGGCCGCTCAGGTCTGTCCCTGCAGTTATGGAAACCTAGGTGCCCACCCTTGGTGGGCAGGACCCCAAGGGCATCATGACAAGCCCGAGAGCCGGGGGTAGGGAGAGGCTTAGCAGACATCCTTCAGGATCTGAAAGGGGGGGAGTGGGAATTGAGCCTCTGTTCGTTGCTATTAGGTTTTCATTGAAAAAAATGTATATTTTTAAAATCTCTTTTCTTTTGTTTCTGGACATGCCATGCGGCTTGCAGGATCTCAGTTCCCCGACTGGGGACTGAACCCCGGCCACGGCAGTGAGAGCCTGAAATCCTAACCATTAGGCCACCAAGGAATTCCCTTTTTAAATCTCTTTCTTCAGTCACGTGCCCTGAATTCTTATACAGCTTTGAACTTTGAAAATTTGGGCAGACCCAACCCTAAGGCTTAGAACATTTGACTCTGAAACCGTCTTTCCTTTTCTGGAAGAGAAATTGCAGACATGGGAAAGGAAATCCACTTGGTGCCCCCAGTATTGTTAGAAACTGAACATCAGTCTCCCTCACTCTCCTTCAGTTAAGTGGAGCTCATTGGAGTACCTGGGCAGGTAAAGAAAACTGTCAGAGCCAGACCACTGTGTGAATTTCCAGGGAAAGGAATTTTAAAATATATATATATATATATATGTATGTATTTATTTATTTTATTTATTTATTTTGGCTGCGCCGCGTCTCAGTTGCAGCACGTGGGATCTTTAGTTGCAGCATGCAGACTCTTAATTGAGGCGTGTGGGATCTAGTTCCCCAACCAGGGATCAAACCCAGACCCCCTGCATTGGGAGCATGGAGTCTTACCCACTGGACCACCAGGGAGGTCCCCGGGGAAGGGAATTTTGACAGTTGGTGTGCCTAAATGTTGGTTGGCATTTCCTATGACGGTGATTTTTCTTTTCGTTTTATGATTGTTTATAGTGTCTAAAACAGGAACTCATTGCTGCCGTGTGTCGTAGAATCAACACCTGCCTCGCAGCCTTTCTGCCCCAGGCTCCCAGCTCTCTTTGCTCCGCGTCGTAGACAAACACAGAAGCAGCAACCTCTACAAACTGTCCAGAAAGCCCAATGGTGTCAGCACAAAGCTGGCAAACCATTGCCTGTGGCACCATCAGTTTCCCCCTTAATGAGAAATACTGGCAGCCTCAGCGGCCAGAAGGAGATGTCCCTGTGTCTGCTGGAAGCAGTTCATTCTGAAGTTAGCTGAGCCTTGTTTCACTGTGGTAACGTCTCAATCCTGCTTTTCATTTCAGGCAACAGAGATGCTCGTTTTTGGGAAGAAGTTAACAGCCCGGGAAGCATGTACCCAAGGACTTGTTACTGAAGTTTTTCCCGACAGCACTTTTCAGAAAGAAGTTTGGGTCAGGCTGAAAGCATATTCAAAGCTCCCCCCAAATGTTCGTATTCGTTTTCTTGTTTGTTTTGTTTTGCTTGTAAGAACCATGGAAATCATCTGTTTGCCTTAAGAGAATAAGCAATTTAAAAAACAAGACAGCTGGCTCTGAGCACATCTAAATCTGAGATTAAAAGTAAGCCTAATAATGTTAGAAATACTGACTTTTACAAAACTGATCAAATAGGCGTCCCACTCCTGTGCTGTGGAGACCGAGGGGCGGTTCTCTCTGGGCACCACTTGGAGGAGGTTGATAGGCAACCTTCACCAGCACTTTGCTCCTTGAATCCAGGTGAGCAGCCAGACAGGTTAACTGTGAGGAGATTCTGACCACACAGCACTCATTTTTATATGTAGCTGGTGACTGATTTTCTCATGTTCTCACTGCTCAAAATGTCCTGGAGCCAGAAGCTTTGGTTTCTATCTACAGCTTCGTAGAAATGTGTGATCACAAGCCCTGCCTCAGACCTGCTGGGAGGATGTGTGCACACACGAACGTTTGAGGAACAGCGTCTTATCTACACGTTTCTTAAGGTGTCACAGGATCAAATGAACGACAGAGAAACAAGCCTCAGAATTCTAGAATAATCTTACTCCTCTTAGAATGCCTCTTAACCTCACTGTTGGTTTTGTTTTTTCAGGCCATGAGAATTTCAAAACAGGTCATCAGAAATACGGAGAAAGAAAAGTTGCACGCGATTAATGCTGAAGAAAGCAACGTCCTGCGGGAGAGGTGGCTGTCAGATGAGTGCATGAACGCCGTCGTGAGCTTCCTGTCCAAAAAAGCAAAGCTGTGATGGCCGTCACATCAAAGCTAAACGTTTCCAAGGAAGGGATGTGCTACTATTTCTGCTTTCCAATTCCTGAACTAAGTAAACCTCGCTGTGCCTTTCTTCAGTGCTAAAATACCAGTTCTGATAATTATACTTCACTAGAGCCCTGATGTAAAACAAATGATGTGAAACCAGCTTTGAGAATTTACGTAGGTTTTTGGTAGTGGGGAGTCTTACGTCTTTCGCTATGAATCGCTGTTGCCAGGCACACTGAAACATTGTGCCCGGCGTTCTGCTCTGAAAGGCATTCACAGTGCTGCAGGCTGAGACCGTGTGTTCGAAAACCACTACTGCACTTTGCCGTCCACACAGGCTCACTGACTTGATCGGCCCAAACACCGACAGTCTCTGGATGACCGAGTCAAGATCTTCAGTGGGTCGCATGTTCTTTTTCAGCCGTCTGGCAGGGGGAGCAAACAGAGGGAGCAATATTACTAGAGGATGAATTAGAATCTTAGTTTCATCCTCCCCCCTATAATTTGATAAAAAGGGATGAAGGGATTGGATCGTTTCATTGGAAAGTGATGTTCTGTATCAGTGATTATTTCCTCATTTGTCATATAGTCTCCATTCTCGTTTAATGTGGTACTTTATAAAAAGCACCCTGAAAGCTGCCTTAACCGTCCTTGTGACTCTGTTTCGATGGCTGCCGTATGAATCACTTGACAAGAGTTTAATTCCAGTGGCTGTAGGATTGGTGTGGAAGACTTTGCTCTTCTAAATGTCCTCCTTCCTTTTTAACCTCCTTCAAGCATCAGCATCCAGATAGCCAACCCACCGAACCTCTGACTTCTTAATTCTTAATTTTTTTATTCCAGTAATCCTAACCCAAAGTGTTCACTCTTATAGGAAATACATTAATAGTAATAACCCAGTCATGTTTACTGAGCACTTACTATTTGTTTCTAGTGCTTAATGCCCATAAGCACATTTTGTCCTCAAAAAACAATGCCCAGAATTAAAAATGAGGTAAACTGTTGCTGCTACCCATTTACAAGTAAGGAGTCCAAGGCATGGAGATGTAAGTAGCTTTTCCAGAGTCAAAGTCCCAGTAAGGGTCAGAGAGTCCCAGCCCCACTGTGTCCCCATGAGCCGCCCATCCCTCCCACTGACTTCAACTAACATCTCTGGACAAAAGGTGAAAAACAATGGCTTGAGGATGCTGACATTAAACAAAAGCAGACGGATTGTGGTAAGGCATCAGAATGTGGAGAAGCATCTGCCCATGAGTTTCTGAGATTGTGGGACATTAGGAAACAATTGCTGGGATCTCTGTCCTAAGCACGGGACATATGCCCCAAAGGCAGGCCCAACTGTGCAGCAGTGCAGTGGTTGCCATGGTGTGACTGGCAAAAGAAAATTTGAGGCCAAGAAGAACATCTCTCTAACCAGGAAAAGGATTCCCTGGGGCTGGAGAGGAGAATCCCAGAGCAGAGAAGGAATGAGGTGCTCCCCTAATTCTAGGTATAAACCTACACAGCTTAGGTTCACAAGTGGGACAGGCTCAAACCAACATGGTAAAGGCTTTGGGAAGTAAACTGGGAATTTAAGCACCACTAACACAAGATCAAGACAGCTTATAGTCTCAACGTAAGCAGGTTGATTACTTGCTAAAACAAAACCATCAACATTCTCCAGATAATTCAACAAAACTCGGTCCAGGCAACATAATATTCACAGTGTCCATGATACAATCCAAAATTACCGACATACAAAAGACCATGAACATGTGAACACTAAGGTGAAAAAAGACAACACACGTCAATCCCGAGATGGCCTAGATGTTGGAATTGTCCCACAAAGACTTTAAAGCAGTTCTCATAACTGTGCTCCACAAGGTAAAGAAAAACCCACTTGAAATGATTAAAACGACATGAGTTCTCACCAGAGAAACAAACTACACACAGAACCAGATAAAATACTTAGAACTGAACATCTGAACTTTAAAAATAATTCTCTAGGGAATCCCATGGTATTCCAGTGGTTAGGATTCAGCGCTTTCACTGTGGTGGCCTGGGTTTGATCCCACAAGCTGTATGATGTGGCAAAAAAAAAAAAAAATTCTCTGGAGGGACTCTAGCAGAATGTAGATGACAAAGGAGTCAAAGAACCTAGAAGATAAGTCAACAGAAACTAAGCAATGTGAAGTACAGAGAGAAAAAAATACTAGGAAAAATAAATAATCAGAGTGACATCAGCAAGATGTTGGAAGTTTCAGGTCCTCATCGCCCAACAGAAACATCAAATAATCAACTACAGAAACCCGTCAGACATCTACAGCAAACAAGTGAATGTCCAATCAAGAAATAAGTTACATTAAAAATGATAGGAGATTTTGTGACATTTTTACTCACTCTTGCCCCACCTACTCCCCTGCATGATGTGGTTGGAAGGAATTAGTCTACTTCCCACCTCCTTCTCTTGGGAGGAAGGAACAGACTGGAACTTGTTTGCAACATGCTGGCCTGTCTGGGTTGCCTGAGGGATTGGTTGCTGTCTTGCCTGACTCAAAGTTTAGATGGAAACATTGGCATAGTTTGGGTCCTGGGCTAGAAGCCACAGAAGGCACTGAAACACGTGAAAAGTACAAGCTGATTGCAGACCCGTGCAGAGAAAGAGATTACAAGCAGAGGAAGACAATAGAGCATTTAAGACTCTGAGAAGAAGCTGGAATGAGACTCTTTGGGAAGACATTTAAAAGCAGTTGCGGGGTGGGGGGGCAGGATTAAAAAAAACAAAACCAAAAATTAAACCTATACACAGGCTCAGACAGGAATCATGCCCAGTTAAACCTGAAAAGGCCTGGGCTGGTCTTAAGACTCATGGGCCCACCATTTCAAGGTCTTGCACAGCGGTGTGCAAGCACTGGGAGAGGTGGCTGTTCTTTCAAATGCACAGTTTTCAAGAAAAGGTCATAAGGCATGCAAAGAAACAGGGAAATGTGACCCATTCAAAGGAACAAAATCTCCACAAATAGTCCATGAAGAAACACAGGCATGAGACTTACTAGAAAAAGACTTTAAAACAACTGTCAAATATGTTCAAAAGAGCTAAAGGAAAACATAGGCAAAGAGCTAAAGGAAATCAGGAAAACACTGTGTGACAAAATAATATTAACAAAGATGGGAATTATTTTTTTAAATTAATTCTGAAGATGAAAATTACAATAACTGAATTGAAAAATTCACTAGAGGGGTTCACCAGCAGACTCAAACAGGAAGAAGAAAGCATCAGCACACTTAAAGACATTTGAAATTATTGAGTTTGAGGAGCAAAAAGAAGAAAGAACAAAAGTGAGCAGAGACTAAGGGACTTACGGGACACCATCAAGCGACCAGTGTGCACACAATGGGAATTCCAGGAGGAGGAGAGACAGTGGGACAGAGCAATATATTTGAAGAAATAATGGCTAAAAACTTAACACAGTTTGAGGAAAGACATGATATACAATGCAAAAAGCTCAATGAACTATAAGTAGGATAAACACAAGGAGACCTACACTGAGACACATTATAATCAAACCTGTCAAAGACAAAGCATGAATCTTGAAAGCAGAAAGAGAAAAGCAACTCATCATACACAAGGGCTCCCCAATGAGATGAGCAGCTTTCTCAGCAGCCAGAAGGGAATGGAATGATGTGTTGAAAGTGCTGAACGAACAAAAACAATTGTCACCCGCTAACTCTACATCTGGCAAATAGTGTTCTTCAAAAATAAGGGAGAAATTTAAGACATTCTTATACAAAATCTGGGGGAGTTCATTACCACTAGATGTGCCCTGCAAGAAATGCTAAAGGGAGTCCAAGTTGAAATGAAAGGCTGCTAGATAGTAAGTCAAAGCCACATGAAAATATAAAGTGCTCCAGCAAAGGTAAATACATGCACACAAATATAAAACTATTATTGTAATTTTGCTTTGTAACCTCACTTTTTATTTTCTACAGGATTTAAAAGACAAATGCTTAAGATATAATTATAAATCTATGTTAATGGGTATGTAATATATAAAGATGTAATCTGTGACATCAATAACAAATGGAGAGGGCTTCCCTGGTGGCGCAGTGGTTGGGAGTCTGCCTGCCGATGCAGGGGACACGGGTTTGTGCCCCGGTCCAGGAGGATCCCGCATGCCGCGGAGCGGCTGGGCCCGTGGGCCGTGGCCGCTGAGCCTGCGCGTCCAGAGCCTGTGCTCCGCAGCAGGAGAGGCCACAACAGTGAGAGGCCTGCATACCGCAAAAAATAAAAAATAAAAAAAATAACAAATGGAGATGCAGAGCTGTAAATCAGTAGTTTTTGTATGCAGTTAAGTTGGTAAAAGTTTAAGACAGATCATCATGATTTTAGGATGTTATCTGTAACCCCCGTGGTAACCACAAAGAAAATATCCATAGAAAATACCCAAAAAGAAATGAGGAGGGAATCAAAATGTGTCAACACAAAAATATCAACTCAACTCAAAGGAAAGTAGTAATGGAGGAAATGAGGGACAAAATAATGATATAAGACATACGGGAAACAAGATGGCAAAAGTAAGTGCTTCCCTATTGATAATTAAATATATTAGACTCTCCAATCAAAAAACACAGATTGACAGGATTAAAAAATCAAGGTTCAACTATATGCTGCCTGTAAGAGTCCCACTTTAGACCTAGCGACATGCATAAGTTAAAAGTGAAAGGATGAAAAAAAGATATTCCATACAAATAGTAACCAAAAGAGAGGAGGATGGCTCTTATTTTAGACAAAATAGACTCAAAAGCTGCTATAAGATACGGACATAATATCATGATAAAAGGGTCAAGACAGCAAGAAGATATAACAATTATAAACATTTACACACTAATATTAGAACTCCAATATATATAAGGAAACTGACAGGATTGAAGGGAGAAACAGCCTACAATAATAGTAGGAGACTTCAATACCCCACTTTCAATAGTGGATAGAAAATCAGACAGAAGATCAATAAGGAAATAGAGAACTTGGACAACACCATAGATCCCTTGGACCTAACCGATGTGTACAGAACACTCCACCCAACTACAACAGAATACACATTTTTCTCAAGTGCACTTGGAACATTAACCAGGAAAGATCATATGTTTGGCCACAGAACAAGTGTTAATAAATTTTTTTTTTTTTTTTTGCGGTACGCGGGCCTCTCACTGCTGTGGCCTCTCCCGTTGTGGAGCACAGGCTCCGGACGTGCAGGCTCAGCGGCCATGGCTCACGGGCCCAGCAGCTCCGTGACACGTGGGATCTTCCCGGACTGGGACACGAACCCGTGTCCCCCGCATCGGCAGGCAGACTCTCAACCACTGCGCCACCAGGGAAGCCCTAAATTTAAAAAGAGTAAAATCATATATCTTTTTCTTATTACAATGGAATTAAACTAGAAATCAACAGCAGAAGGAAAACTGGAAAATCCACAAATATACGGCAATTAAACAACACACCTTTAAACCACCAATGAGTCAAAGGGGAAATTAGAATATATCGTGAAACAAATGAAATAAAAACACAACATACCGAAACTTGTGGGATAAAGTCAAATCAGTGCTAAGCGGAAATTTTATAGCTGTACGTGCTTACGTTTAAAAGAAGAAATCTTGTAGACTAGGTGTAAAGCCGAAATTCTGCCACTCACATGATATCATCCTAGGTCCTGGTCATGCTTGGGGTGGGCTGGTGCTTCCCAACTCATGCAGCATAAAAGCCCTGCAGCTCGGTGGTTGGGTCCCTAAGAATCCCTCCTCTCCACCCTGCTAGGTCTCTGCTCACTGACCTGGAATGCGATGGCCCATGGGGAACCCATGCACCTGCTCCAGTCTCCATGAGTTTTCTGCAAACGGGACTCATGTGCTTTTATACAGAGCAATGCTTGTTTTCACACTTACCGTATATGCCAAAGACAACATTAAGTCATTTTTTAGCTTTTTAAGGCATAAAGAGGGTTTGTGGTCACCTATCCATCTCTAAATATGCCTGCATAGGACAAAAATTAGGCACCTACCTGACAACTATGGTTGACACTGGAGGCTCCTTTGTGTTTTTATCCCACACATGGCATTTCTTCCACCCCTGATTTGCATTGTTGTTGACTTTTCTTCTCCACAGGGGCATACTGCTTGGTTTGGGGGTCAGATTAATCTCTTTGGGAAATCGATGTCTTTCTAAGATCCTTTCTAAGCCAGAGAATTCAGAATTCTCACCTAGTAGTAGAACAATCATTAATACAATTCAATGTTCCTTTCCATCTTTGCACAGCAAAGATGCCATTAATTTGAGAAAGACTGTTTGTGCCATTTAATTGCTATTGAGGTCTCTGCCATTTCTTCATTCCAAAAATATCAGTGAGCCACATTTAGACCGTAGCCTGGTTCTAGACATCTAATAGATGCACAGCAAGAAATGAGTGAATGAACGAACAAAGCAGGTGTGCTCGTACTACCACAGGTACTGAAGGTCATTGGTGTAATCTCTGCATGATTCTCAAACGAATGGTAAGTAACTGGACTACTATTTTTATCTTCAGCGATATTAACCATACTCTGCATTGACATCACATCCACTGCTTCACACTGACCTCAGTTGGCCCCTAACCAAATCGCCCTTCCGTAGTGACCCAAAGAGCTTGTGGCAGGATGTAATCCAGTACTCTACTTCCTTCCTTCATTAAAACCATCTTCTCCAAAAAGAAGGAAGGAAGGGAGGGAAGGAGAAAGAGGGAGACAGAGAGAAGGAGATAGGAAGGGAAGGAGGGAGGGAGGGAGGGAAGGAGAAGGGGAGTCAGTTGAACCACGCAGGGTGTTTAGTGACATAGCTGAGCTATCTTGTAGTGTAAGCTTGTTATCTCTTTGCCAACTGGTGACAATTTGAGAAGCGAAAGCCAGTTTGCAGGCTGTGCTATGAGCATCTCTGCAATCCATTTGGGTGCATAGAAAATAAGCTGTTACACATCTACCGTAGGAAGAGAAGCTGAGCCTCAGAGAGACTCAGGGGGACCCTGCATTGGATTAGGAATTAGATCAGTGCTTGTCCGGCCCCCATTATTTCTCAGGCTGAATCCCTGAAGGTCCCTCCTAGGTAGGGTAATTGACAGAGACCTAAGGGACAAAGAATTGGCTCAAGGGACCATAGATTGGCATTCGGACTAAATTGTTTAATGACTTGATGAATAGATTGATCCTTAGAGGCCAGAAAAACCACTCCAAGTGAGTCAAGGGCAGGCCTGGAGTATGGAGCTCCTGCCCAGTGGGTGAAGGCCAGGGCTCTTGGTAGCAGTTTATTAGCTCAGTGACCACACAGCTGGGCCGCCCAGCAGCTCCCACAGGCTTGCCTGAACAATAGGAAGAGCATAGGGTTTGCTTTGGTTGTCAGAACTTCACATCTAATGAAATGGACAGTAGTCTACACGGCAGGAACACTACCAGTTGCTAAAGATGTATCAATATTCGTGTCTACACTGGGAGGCTAAGAGAACAAACTCTAAATCAGCATTTAACTGGAATATCACTGGGAAATCAAAACCCAATTCTCCAACCTCACATAAATGCTCACTGTATTTTCGATTTTAAAATTGCATTTTAGTTACAAAAATTAAAGACACATGAAAAGATTTCCACTGGAATAAATAAAATCAAACAACTTAAAGAAGTATATACATAGTGTAAAAAATTAATGAACAGAAGCCTCAGTTAAATAGAGCCGAGAGACCAGCAGGGGGAGCTCTCACCCCTGCATTCAGAGCTGAGCCCAACCAGAAAGAAGAAAGATTCCCTTCTTTCCTGCTAGGACTCAACCACAGACTCTTTGTTTACTATTTTTGTTGCCCTCCTAACTTCTTTTCCCCTCTATAAGATGTTATCCTTCCCATGCCATGTGGAGACTTGCCGGTGGTTCACCAAGGTTGCAGGCCCCAAATTGCGGTTCTCTTCTGACCCTGAATAAACCCGTCTTTGCTGGAGAAATACCAGGCGGTCCTTTTGGTTCAAGTCAACAGCAAAGGGAACATCTTCCTCCCTCCCATCTCTATCCTTCCTCAGAGGTAGGCACCACCCTGAATTTGCTGTGTCTCCTTCTGGAACTCTTTTCTATGCATTTATATACATATTTGCATTTACAAATACATAGTCTTCTTTTGGCAAAAATGGAATCATTGTTCCTTATTCTGCAGCTTATTAAAACTCTGTAGTGTGTTTTACAGATATTTTAATGTCAACTTTCTTTTTTTTTTTTTGCGGTACCCGGGCCTCTCACTATTGTGGCCTCTCCCGTTGCGGAGCACAGGCTCCAGACGCGCAGGCTCAGCGGCCACAGCTCACGGGCCTAGCCGCACCGCGGCATGTGGGATCTTCCCGGACCGGGGCACAAACCCGCGTCCCCTGCATCGGCAGGCGGACTCTCAACCACTGCTCCACCAGGGAAGCCCCCTGCTTCATCTTTTTAGCCTTGCCACCGGCATCAGCCTTCTTGGCTGCAGGTTTTTTCTCCTTAGCATCTGGCTTCTCAGCCTTTTCACCCGCCATCTTGCAAGATGGAACAGAGCCCAGCACAGTTTTAAAGTGACGGGGATACAGCAGTGAACGAGACGCGCAGGCCCCTGCCCTCATGGAGTCATATTCTGCTGGGAAGAGACAGACAACAAAGAAGCAAACAAGATGGTGAGGAGTCCAGGGAAGAAAGAAAGATGGGGGTTCTGAAATGCAGTAAAGTGCATGGGAAGGGCTTCTTTATTTTTTTGTGTGTTTTACCCACATAATTTTATTTCAAATATTTATAAATTTGAAGAGCACTGCTTAAGGGCTTCTTTAAAGTGGAGTCAGGGAAGGCTTTTCTGAGAGGAAAATGGAAATGGGGGACACACTTAGGGGCTGGGGGTGGAGGCGGGAGTCAGAGATCTGAGAAACCCTTGAAATGGTGGTGAGCATCTGGTGCATCTGCATTTTTCTCCAAGGATCCCTCCCCCCAGATATTAAGAACCAGTGCATTCAGCTGCTTAATGAGGCTTTAGGGGGTTGAGTCCAGAGCTGGGTGTTACACGCACAGAATGCATTAATACCACCCCCATTTCTGGCTCAAATGTCAGTGCTTTGTCGTATAATCGAATCTGGACTCATGAGGACCCGCCCAGAGGCGGGCTTGCGCTCAGCTGGGACACCTTTCTGCTCTCACGTCAGTTATGGGGACACTGCATGTTGGCAGCGTGGACAGCACTGGACACACAGCCCGGCCTGGTGGCGCGGGGGCGGAATCGGGATCAGGGTCGTGGCCCGGCGTAGTCAGGGCCGGGGTCGGGGGCGAGGTTGGGCTCAAGGTCGGGGACAGGGCCGGAGTCTAGGACCCGGGTACGGCGAGGGGGAGGGGGCGGGGCCAGGGGCGGGGGGGTCAGGGGACGGGCTAGGGGCGGGGCCGCGGGTGGGGTCGAGGTCGGGGGTCAGAGGTCGGGGATCAGGGGTCGGGGTCGCGGCCCCGCCGGCCGCGTTCCGGCTGCGTGCTGCCCTGTGTCCTCTCTGCAGGCGGGCCGAGTCGGAGGCTGTGCACGCGGAGCGGCCGGGGCCTCGGGGCAGCAGCGCCCGCGGAGACGCCGCCGTGGACGAGCCGGTGGCCAGCGGCGCCGAGCGGTAAGAGGCCGAGCGGTAAGAGGCGGCCCGGCCCGCACCTGCGGGACGCCCACCCCCCAGCCCCGCCCCGGGTCCCCGTCACAGAGGCCGGGCCGCGCACTCACCCCGCACACCCCGCGGCGCCGCATCCCCAGCGCCCGCGCGCGCCTCCCTCCCGGTCCTTCCGCCCGGGCGCGGCGCAGGTGGATCAGTTCTTACTGATGCAGGGCATCCCTGAGCTGCGTTCTCTGCGTCTTTGGGACCCACCCTTCCTCTAGGGGACAAACAGTTGTAAACGACTAGGAAAGACACTGAGTACTGCGGTGGCTTCAGTTTGTGGTTTTTTTGCAGATACCCATGCCCTAAGCAATAACTTAATCCGTTTAAGCAACGCCTTAAAGATTGCTTCACTTGTTTTATGATACTGTAGTTCTCGGAGACTTATGCCTTAAACAGGAGCGGGCCTTTTGGTACCTCTGAGGCATGTGGGAGTGTCGGCTGTGCCCGTGTGTAAGGTTAATCCTGCTTTCAAACGGAGCACCTGGCTTAAATCATTAAAAGCAGAGTTCGTGACCCTGTGTTTTAATTCCAGATAACTCACCATACTTTTTCTAATTTGTGTTTTATCGTCCTGTCTGAAAATATCTCCCTTCTCACTTCAGACCTTCACTTCCTCCTCTTCTGTCATTTAGACCTTCCTCCTTGCTTTTTCTGTGCCCCCGTATTTGTCTGATCGCCTCTGGCTTCCAGTTAATTTCCTGTTGCTACCCCGCCTCGCCCCACAGGCCCTCTCTCCCGCGTTCTGAGCTTTCTCCTGAGCTCCTTTGTATGCGGAGCCCAAGTTCACGCGCTCTTTGAAATCAGCCTCGTGCCGTACCCTCAGCGTGCCTGTCCCACACCTGTGCAGGATTGTGAGGAAACAGAGAAGCGGGACGGGGGGAAGAAATGGTGAGGACAGCGGCCCCAGGCTGCGCGCGTCCGTCTCCCGAGAGGTACCCGGCAAGCAGCGTCGGGGGATACCGAATGGAAATTTTTCTTTTTTTTTTATTTTAAATTTTTATCCTATATTGGAGTATAGTTGGTTGACAATGTGTTAGTTTCAGGTGTACAGCAGAGTGACCCAGTTATACATAAACATCTTTTCTTTTTCAAATTCTTTTCCCATTTAGGTTATTACTGAGTGTTGAGTAGAGTTCCCTGAAAATTTTTATGTCTTTTAACAAAGGAAAAGCTAACCAGCTTCTTTGTAAATCTCCAAACATTTCTCTTTTTAAAAAAAATATATTTATTTATTTATTTATTTTTGGCTGCGTTGGGTCTTCGTTGCTGCGCGCGGACTTTCTCTAGTTGTGGCGATGGGGGGCTGCTCTTTGTTGCGGCCCGCGGTCTTCTCATTGCGGTGGCTTCTCTTGTTGCGGAGCACGGGCTCTAGGCGCTCAGGCTTCAGTAGTTGTGGCACACGGGCTCAGTAGTTGTGGCATACAGGTTCAGTAGTTGTGGCACATGGGCTTAGTTGCTCCGTGGCATGTGGGATCTTCCCGGCCCAGGGCTCGAACCGTGTCCCCTGCATCGGCGGGTGGATTCTTAACCACTGCGCCACCAGGGAAGTCCTCCAAGCATTTCTAATTGCAGTTGGATTTGGTGAAACATGCCACCTTGAACCGTCGGGCAATGCTCACCTTTTAAATTTTCTCACACGTGTTTTGTGAAAAATATTGGTAAGGCAGGTGGATATCAAATAGTAGAACCAATGCCCACCCTGTAGGCAGTTTGCACTCTGGCTGACTTCATGGACTACTGACAGCCTTCCTTACTGGCTGACAAATTTGGTTACTTTCATTCTATGACCTCAACAGCATGGTTTTCATCACCTCCCCTTTATCATGTTAAGGTAAGGCTATTTCTCTCACAGGTTATTTTGTACCTTAGGGAACCAGGATTACAGAGCTGAGAGAAGCTTGAGAATCTGTCAGGAGGCTTTAAAAATACAAATATCTGGGGCTTCCCTGGTGGCGCAGTGGTTGAGAGTCCGCCTGCCGATGCAGGGGACACGGGTTCGTGCCCCGGTCCGGGAGGATCCCACATGCCACGGAGTAGCTGGGCCTGTGAGCCATGGCCGCTGAGCCTGCGCATCCGGAGCCTGTGCTC